GGAATAGAGCCATCAAATGTCTTCACCTACAGCCTCCATCCAGGTGGTATTTTAGTGTTTTGTGAAAGTTGTCCCTGGTTTTTACAAGCTGTGGTTCTTCCTAGCTCTCTTCATTTGAATGTGACTTAGGCAGGCTCCAGGAAGAAAAATATCGGACCTGATGTGGTGTGAATACTTTCATGTCTGACGTGTCCTGAGCACACTTTTAAAGCAGAGATGGGGTTTTTTACATCCTTTCCTGTATTGCTCAGTACATTGCAGGCCACTTTGAAATAATCTGTATTGTTAGTGACAGGTTGGCAGATGTGTGCTGGCTGTATGTACAGGCACAAACTGTGCAAGGGATTTGTCTTGGATAGATAACCCTCCTCTCGCCCCTTCAGGAGCGTGCAGAATTCTGATGTGATCAGATCTGCAGGTGATAATACAGACATGACTACATTGTCTACTGAGTCTTTGAGCATCAGTTGATACTTTTACTTTTATGTATAAGGGACACCCTTCCTTGCTGGGCTCAATATCTGTACTGCCAGGCTCCTCCCCTCTGAGAACTGATAAGTGGCATCATCATGCTTTTACCTAAATTTGCAGCAGTTTTAATGAGGAGAGGGTGTGGAGTGAACCCTTTACTCGAAATGGACACATAATGAACACAGTCAAAATGAGCTAGGATGACTATTTCTCAAGGAAAGGTTTAATACTCTTTTTGATGGACCTCTTCAAACCCTTGGTTTGACTTGGTGGTCTTGTGGGAACAATCTCTCTCTGTGAAAACGACAGATCTTATTGTTACTGGGTTTTACACTTTGTGCCCACGGTAGTATCTGCAAGTTAACTCTTCCAAAGAGAGTAGATACTGGTGTTTTGTATTGAAACATGCAGTGAACATCAGACATGGACATTTACAAGAAAACTATCACAACCATAAGCCGAAACTCTTACTGCTGGGAAGGTCTGTGAGGGAGGAGTGATTCCAAGAAGCATTTTGCATGGGGAGTATTGTACAAGTTAAAAGTCAGAAGGCTCATGTTTCTCTATACTATAAAGACTAGTGGGCTGACTGCAAAAATAAGCCTCAGACTAGTCATCAAAGATCATATTTCTATAATAAAATATTTCAAATGTGTAATAAAAAATATCAAGCCTCTGTGTCATTAGAATGACAGACTGCCCATTGTTGGTAAGGCTTACAGGGAACAAAGCCTGTTTGTCCTTCTCATGATATGCTCATTTACAAAGCCTCCAACTTGGGGGTCCCTGCTGCCCACTCCTTGGCTGCCTGATTCATTCTCTGTCAGCACGCATAAAACAGCATCCTCCAGTCTTACAAGTATTTGTGTATTATGCTTAGCAGGGCTTAGATTGCTGTGCAAGGAAGGGAACTACAGGTCAACCCTTCAGCTGCTGTTGACAGTGAGGTGTGAGAGATGCTTAAATCCTTTCCTCTCTGGGACATTTCCTCCTGTGACCCTGAGGACTTAAGAAGACATCTGTAGGAACAGATGTCAGATATAAGCACGCCTCCAAACCTGAAAGCACTGCCTTTTTAAGTGTGTTTCCCCAATTAGGAGGAGGGCTAATTACCTGATGAGCTAATAATTGAAAACATTTGTAATACCTCCTCTGTTCCAGCTATGGCCTGGACCTGAGGCTGTGTGAATCGGTGGTGTGGACAGGTGCAGCTTTGCAGCTTATGTTTCCCCAGAGGGAGGGACTGTACGCTCCCTACTGTGTGATGTGGGATCTGTTGGAGTGTCTGCAGCTCCCTCATCCCCTTTCACACTGGTGTGATGTCCTGCTTCCATACATACTTCCCACTGGTGGCTGATGGCTTTGAAACAGGCTTGAGGAGGTGATCTTCCATTACTAGCACACAAATTGAAGCTGTGGTATAGATTTTGTTCTAATGCTAGTCACACAGAGCACACATGACTGTATTTGGCTTCAGATGCTTGAATCTTGTTTAGAGAGCATTTGCCAAAGTCCTTTCACTTCAACCTTCTTTAAAACAACCCTCACAAACTAATGTTCAAGGTGTGACTGTTAGTGTTGTCCGATCTCAAATTAGGCATGTGCTGAACCCTGAGGAAGACAGACTTGCTTAAGATGGCAGGATGCTTACACAGGTGCCTGCAAGTCAGTGTCTTGGTTAAAGACAAGGTAGGACACTGAAGATTTTGTTCAGGCTGTGCTGTGCCCTTGTGCCAACAGGCTTCGTATCTTGGTCACTTTTTGATGAGATGGGAGGTAATCCCTTGTAACAGGCTGTTTGTACAGGAGTTTGAGTAGTTCCTGTTCTCTGCTGCTCTGAGCTCCAGAAGAGCTCTCTGATGGAGAGAGGGGAAGGTGCTATCAGTACAGAACAGCCCACCCTTGCTTCATGTAGCACCTTTTCTGCCCAAGATGAAGTACTAACTGGTGGTGTGAGGGAGTTCAGGCAGCTGCCACACTGTACGGGCGCTGCTGTTCTGTGGCCTCTTTCAGCAAGCTCTGAGCAGTGAAATCTACGTGCGGGCATCCACATACCTTAATATAATCAATTTTGCAGGCAGGTGCCAGGTGCCCTCTCTTTCCCGGGGCTTGTTACATCTCTGTCCAGCGATGTCATCAAGGTCTTCAACACTCATGATAAGGCAGAGTGCAACTCGGAACAGAGAGTCAAAGACCTTGGTGACAGCACTTCCAAGAGCATGACATGGGTGCTGGGATTGCCACCTGCAGTAGGTTTGGCTCACTGCTTGCAGGCACTGGATTTGCAACTGGCCTCAATGCCATTTTAGCAGAGGATAAAGTGTTTGCAAGAAATAAGCTTTTCTTCTGTTTTGAAAAGTGGAGATACAGCTTGCTGTTGGCTCAGAGGCACTCACAAATACTTTGTTTTGCAGTGCTGTGGGGCAGTAAATCAACAGGTAAAATTAAAGTCACCTTCTTTGATTGCTGCCAACAGCTGCACATATAAGCCGGTCTAGTTAGTATTTACTTCATTGCTCTTAGTTTTCAGTGATCCTAAAGGGCATGTTTCTGTTTTTCTTGAAACCATCCCAACTAAACAAAAATGGAGCAATGAAACAGGCAGAGGAAAACAAACCGCCTAAGAAATTGCATCAGATCTCAGACTATTATTCCACACGTGCCCTGCCTTTCCCAGTTGTTTGCTGGATTAGTATCACTTAAGGTGTAGGAGAAACATCAGCTGAGTGGCATCCTGTGTTGTGCCCCGCAGCACAGGCAGATGTTGGGACTGAAGGAGTTTGCAGCTTGTCTGGTCAGTGCTAATAGTGTTACTTTTATTTAACAAGTAAAGGATGATGGAGGGCTTGGGCTGAAGAGCAGCCTTGGGAGAGGCTTTCTGGTGTTGTGTGTCCTGCTGTATGATTATCAGGGTGCTTGGGAAAACAGGATGTTGTACATTATCTGCTAGATGACGTTTAAGGTGATAGCTAACTCCCCCCCTTGGTGTCTTCTCCCTAACAAAAATGACCCACGCCCTCAAGCTAAACATTCAAATTGATTCTTGTACCTGCCTGCCTCTCCCTAATTAAGCTGGTTTCCTCCCTGACTTCCCTTGGGAAGGATCCTAGCAAAAACCAGCCAGGCTAGAATGAGGACTAACAAACCATATGTCCAGGTGGCCTTCACTTCCGGAAACACCTGCAGACACCAACTGCAGCAGGGTGGCATTCCTGCCATTGCACGGTTCCACATAAATATACAACTGGGTTCTCTGATACTGTGCTCCACAGTGAAGTGAAGGTCCTTGCCCTTCCTTTAGGCCAGGGAAGATGTTGCCAAAAACACTGCCGTGTGGTATGGGTAGAGAGATCTTGACTTGTGGGGGTGGGTAGGAAGGCTGCTTTACCTTTGTGTTTTCAGTACGAGTTACTTTGTGTTAGCCCTCAGCAGAACTCTCCAGAGGGTTCCTGGCTGCTGCTGCCTCCGAGCCCAAAGCATCCAGTCAGGAGGGGGAGCCCAGGACTGCGTGGGAACCAGTGTGATTTCTGCTTT